CTCACAAAAACAGTCACAAACGCAAGCAAGCACACACACAGAATCACAAACACATGCAAACACAGACACATAAACAGACACACACACAAGATACACATACAAACAGACACACACACAGACACACATTAATACATGTTGAGAGTTTGATGTAAACGATGGTTTGTGGCCTCACATTGTCACACCGATTCCTGTCACAATATTCAGCCGCACTGATCAGACAGTCACAATAAACACATTGAGATATTGGAGTCATTCACACTCTGGAGACACAGTGTGTTACTTACCACAGTCTCTGTATTTTACACTCCGGGTTCCTCAGAGCCTCACACAGTCGCTTCACTCCACAATCTCCCAGATTATTATCATTCAGGTTCAGCTCCGTCAGTGAGTGGTTTGTGCTGAGAGCGGAGGTCAGATCCTCGGTACAATCAGCTGTCAGATTGTTACTGTCCAACCTGGAGATCAGAGACACAGAGACATATCAGGGATCAGAGTAAACACAGTGTGTAACCCACTGTCACTCACAGTTTGTTTGATGCCGGACAGGTTGTAGGAGTGCGACACACACACACAAACATGCGCACACCAGGATACACACCAACACAGATGCAGCCAGCGATATACTCTTACTCACACACACATATAAACACATGACCCACATGCAGATACACACAAACAGACACAGACACCCAAACACACACAGACGCACACAGACACTCACACAGACACACTGAAATACACACATACATATAGAAACACACATACACACTCATGCACATAAATAAACGCACACACACCAACGCACCCACGCAAACACATACGTACGAAAACATACACAGAAACACACAAACAAGCACACAGACACACAAACGCACACAATCCCCCACACTCAGAGAAACACACACAAATAAATACACAGACAGGCACGCAAACGCACACACAAACACATGCAAAGGCACCTACGTAAACACACATAAACACAGAAATAAACACAAACATACATACACAAACATACAGACAAACACACACAAATACACACACAAACAGAAACACACAAACAAACACCACGCACAAACACAAACATACAAACACACATAAAAACAGAAATAAATACAGACACACGAAATCACATACAAACTCGCATACATGAATACAGATACACAGATACACAAACAAACATACACACACTAAACCCAGAAACTCACAAACACGCACAAACACTCACAAACTTATGCACACAAAATTGCACATACGCATACACACAGGCACACAAACAATCACACGCACACAGACAAACATAAACAAAATCACACAGAAACACACACATAAATACACACACACACACAGACATGCACACAAACACACATAGACATACGCAGATAGACACACACACACAGAAACACAGAAACACACACACATAAATGCACACACAAACAAACACATGACCCACAGACAAACACACACATAGACACACACACACAAACACACTGACGCAACCACACACGGGCAAAACCTCACACAAGCACACAAACCAAAATGAACAAAATCACACACAAACACACTCATATAAATACACACACACACATGACCCACAGAAAAAAAATGCAACCACACAGAGAGAGAAACAGACAGACACACACACACACACAGAGACACATATACACACATAAAGGCTCACACAAAGACACATACACACGCATGCACACAAACACACACACAGATACACTCAAAAAATTACAAGCACAAACACACACCCAGACAAATGCACTCACACACACGCACACACAGAAACACACAATCACAGACACACAATCTTACCCACACAAACACATACAAACAAAAACACCAATACACAATCGCACACACACAGAAACACACAGAAACAAGCACACAAACACTCACACAAACACACACACATAAACACACATACACAGAAAAACACACAAGCACAAATTCACACACATACACAAACATGCATAAACATACACAAAAACAATCGCACAAATATACACTCAGAAACACACAAATACACACGAAAACAAGCTCACAAACACGGACTCACATGCACACTCAAACAAACATAACACACGCAATCACACACAGACATGGAAACACACGTAAAGACACATTCAAAAGCACACAAACACAAACAGAAGCATAAAATCGAATACAAACACACACATAAGTACACAGACACACACAAACAAATAAACACAAGCAAATATACACAGACACAAACACACAAAACACACAAAAACACACACAAACACACACAGAAACAGTCATAAAAACACTCACAAACTCATACATACAAAATCACACACGCGCAAACACCCACACGCAAGCACACACAAACATAAAAAAACACAAAAATACACACACACATCAATACACGTACACACATACACACAATCAAACAGACAATCAAACACACAAATGCACACACAAAGAAAAACATACAATCACACACAGACACACACGCGAACACACTCACGCAAACAAACACAAAAACACACGCATAAATACACATATAAACTTTCAAACACACAGACACACCCAAAAACATCATCCACACGTACACGCACACAAACACAAACACAAATACACAACAACATCAACAAAATGACAATTACAGAGCGCCTTTCACGTCCGGAGGACTTCCCAAAGCGCTGAACAGTCGGGGGTCGGGGCCCGAGCATGGGGGAGAGGTGGGGAAGGGGTGAGTGGTGGGATCGACGGGGGAGGGGTGGGGGAAGGCAGAGAAGTGGGAGTGAGATCAAAGTCATCATAGAAGAGAAGTGTCTTGAGACCGGCCTTGAAGGAGGCCAGGGAGGAAATGAGGGGAAGGATCCATGAGATGGAGTTCCAGAGTTTGGGAGCAGAGAGGCTGAAAGCTCGGCCACCGATGGGAGGGCGGGTCGGCGGGAGACACGGAGCAGCCCAGAGCCCGCTGGACGAAGGGAGTGGGCAGGTTGGTAGGGAGTCAGCAGGTCAGAGAGGGTGAGGCCATGGATGGTCTTAAAAGTGAGGAAGAGGATCATGAATTCGATCTTCTGGACGATGGACAGACTGGGCGAGCGTGAGTGATGGGGTCGGGCGAGGGTGGCATTGATGGAGTCTGACGAGGGTGGGAGTGATATGGTCGGGCGAGTGTGGGTGTGAAGGAATCCGGCGAGTGTGGCAGTGATGGGGTCGGTCAATGGTGGCATTGATGGAGTCTGACGAGGGTGGGAGTGATATGTTCGGGCGAGGGTGGGAGTGATGTGGTCTTGCGATGGTGGGAATGATGGGGTCGGGCGAGGGTGGGAGTGATGTGGTCGGGCGAGGGTGGGAGTGATGTGGTCTTGCGATGGTGGGAATGATGGGGTCGGGCGAGGGTGGGAGTGATGGTGTCGGGCGAGGGTTGGAGTGATGGTGTCGGGCGAGGGTGGGAGTGATGGGGTCGGGGAGCCTGGTGTGTGAGAGGACACGGGCTGCAGTGTTTGGATGATCTGCAGCTGTAAAGGGAAGAGTTGAGAACACACACACAAACACAGACACAGTCGCACACACTCACTGGAACAAACACAAACACACACAGCAACAACAACAACATTGTCCCAACGCGCTGACACACACACACAAACACTCACAGCTGCACCCACAAGCACAAAGACAATCATACACACAAACAAACAGACGCGCATCAATACAGATACAGAAACACAGAAACAAACACACACACAATGGCACATACACAAGAAAAACACAGAAGCTCACTCAAAAATACACAAACAATGCATAATCTCACGACGACGCGTTGAGTCAAGGTATTTTTTCGCCGGACTCTCCCAACGACCTCCGTTATA